CGACGCTGGGTGGAACCAAGGAGAGACAAAAGCCAATACATTTGGGGTCCAACGTCGCCGCAGAAGTTGCCAAAGTGATGCTAAGTGTAGCCATCGATTGCCTTTAGGGACTCCGACTCCTGGTTTTTCCTCAGGGTGATCTCCCGAAGCCTTTCCCATAAAAGGGTATGGCCGCAAGGCAGCGGAGGTTATGAATCAGAGTTTTCCTTCTCCTAGGCGGTTTACCTTCCAAGGTTATCGAACCCCACCTGTCCGAAGCAGTTACTGGTTTTGAGGCGCCAGGGACCCGCCTTCGCCCCTTCTCCTATCAGTACAAAACAGTTCCGACGGGTTTAAAAGCTAAACCACTCGAGAAGGCTAGGAGCTGGGCTTGGTTGTTAGAGGCTATATTGAGACGCACGCCACGAAGGGCACTTGCAGGTAATGGGAGCCATTCCCACCCTTCGGCATAACAACCTTTGGAACCAAGACTGTCATCAAGACTTATCTAATAATATGCATATATGCACTAATTAAGTGCTACCCCCATCAATCCATTTATCCATCCGTCCATCCATCCATTCATTTATAACTTTAATTATGTTTTTAACCATGCACTTAAAACAATAATCATTGAAAATCTGTAATTATGGATTTTTAAGTTATTTATACTTAGAAAACTATCTTATAGTACACTGCGAACAGTTATTAACACCCATGATGTTCTACCTGAGATCATAGTTGGTGATTATGTTGAGTTGGATGAAAGTTTATTGAATACTGGGCATTCTAGAGATGAAGATCCTGAAAAACATACTTTGACACCTGAAGACAAGAACTAAGAACAAAGAGAGAATTTGCGTGTTCCATCCTGAAGGCTCTTATGTTGGTAGATCAGATGCAAGGTTCACAAAAAGATTTTGAAGATGTTCTAGTCTTTGCTAGAGATCTGTATTGCAAAGACAACAACATTGAAAAGTCACTGTGGCCCAAAAATTGGAGCCAAACTGAAAAATTATTGAAAGCATGTGGTTATAAAGATCCAAAAGAACTCTACATTTGTCTTGATGATAGCCACTATGCATCATGGGATGTCATGGAAAGTTCTTTTGCAACTTGCAGGCACTGTGGTAAAAATGGCACTATAAAATACTATTACCTTGGCTTGGGAGATAAAATAGAAAGATGGTGCGCTGATCCTGTGTAAAAAGATGATGTCTCACTGGGAAAATAAAGAGAACTGGATGGATGGCACTGGAGCCAATGGGCGCTTTCCTTTTAGCCCAAAAAAAAACGGTCCGAGTTTCCAGATTTCTCGTTGGTCAAATGGAACGTTCATTTTCGAAAAGTCACATGTTCTAACACAGGAAGCCCAATCACCGAACATGGTGGACGCTATGGATATTTTCATCGCCCTAGAGCAAGACGATTATGAAAGTATTAATACCATACTTTTGAGCCAGGAAGAAGAAGTTTCAATTTTATCGGTGACGGCGTCTTTCATGCGAAGAAACTTGAATCGGGTGGCTGACTTCTATGAACATACAATCCCAACCTATCTGTCTAGTGAATTTCAGAGTCATTTTCGTATGACTCGAACTACGTTTGAGCTGCTGTTGCCAGAAATTGTTCAAACAAGAATGATTCCACTTAATAATCGAAGAGGACGACCTGTGATCCCTCCAGAGAGGCAAGTCTTGATATTTCTGTGGACAATGGCAAATAAAGAGCCGAATCGAGCTATTGCTGATAGATTTGATGTTACTATTAGTAGTGTGCACCGAACCTATCGCCATGTTGCAGAAGCCGTAACCTCATTGTATCCTAGATACATTAAATGGCCGAATGGTGCGTAATTACAAAGAATTTGAACAAACAACTTTTTGCATTTTCCTATCTAAATCCGTATTTACTTCAATAGCTAATGAAGCCCGTGAAATCTCTGCCGCATTTGAGGATGAAGGGGGATTCCCCAATGTTACTGGGATGATCGATGGCACTCATGTCTGCATTCGTACTCCGGAATATGAACCAGATGTATATATAAACAGAAAGAAATTTCACCCCATTAATGTGCAAGTAAGCTTAAATCTTAATATGTATTTTACTTGAACTGAGATTTTTCTTTAAGGGTAAATTACAACTAACCATTATTACAATATCGCTGTTATAGGTAATATGTGATAACAACCTAGTATTCCTGGATGTGCTTGCTGGTTGGCCAGGGTCTGTACATGACTCCAGAGTTTTGAGGAACTCTGGTGTTTATAATAATGCTGCCAACAGATTCCCAGGGGATTCATATTTGTTAGGAGATGGAGGCTATCCATTACTAAGGTGATCTCTTTTTAATAGTTTTCTCCTGAGTTTTAGAACCATTATGATTTAAATCTTTAATCTATCATATACATTTTGCAATATTTTTTCTCTCTTTTAGCTGGTTAATAACTCCATTTAGAGACAATGGTAATCTAATAGTGCGGCAAAGAAGATTCAACACAGCACTCTCAAGTTTAAGGCAAAAAGTTGAACGGTCAATATCCCTACTAAAAGGAAGATGTTTGTTAATCATCTGGATTTGGAGTTTGCAGTTAAAACTATCATTGCTGCATGTGTACTGCATAATTTCTGCATAGTACATGATGACTTTGATAATAACTATTTCGTACCAGCAGATGATGATGACGATGATGGCAACCAGCCACAAGATGGTGGAGGGGTACAAAAGAGGCAGCACCTTATGTACCTGGTTGAATGAAAAGTATTTATTATATTTATTTGTATATTTCTATTTATTTATTTATTGTATGAAAAGTATTTATTATATAAAAACCCAATTGAACTTAACTATATAACAAACATAGCACTTTTTAAACTATTTATGGTCAACACAATAACTTGTGAATAATTTTGAGAATCAGAAGTATGAACATTGCCATTTAATTTTTTTATGGTGTCAATAACAATTATGGTACTTTACCATTTTTAAAAATCTATACACAGTCGACGCTCAAATAATGGGATGATGTGTTCTATATCTAACAGGTCAACCAAACCATCACACAAAATATTATCTATCACAGGGAAAAAAAATGAAATCCCAAGTTGGGGAAAAAATGGGTGATTATTGGAATAATTATGGGTTTTCCTTGGGAATTTCCCAATATTGGGAAAATGCTACCAAAACCAATCTGTGGTCAAAATATTCCCAATGAAATC